AATCTGACAGAAGCTGAGACTGAATGCATTCAATTTGTCTGTTTTTAATTAAAGCTATTTCAGCAGAACTCTAAGCATCAGGATGAAACTGATCTGTGGTATTAACCATAATCATGACTCCAGAGTAGAGGAATCTAGAATATAGTGTTATCCATTATGACCAATGCAAGGGAATTTGGAATGATGTATTGATCTTTGGTTTAATTGCCAAGAAGAGACCCCAAATCAGCCATCATTAGAAATATTCTATGGCCCCCTTTTCCCAGAGATAAGCATAAAACCTGAAGGGAAAGGTCAATCCTGTCCAGGATTCATTTTTAAACTTTATTGAGGTTGGCATTACATCACTTTAATGTCAGAGTAGTGTTACTGGACATTTGCAACCTCTGTAGGCATCCATGGTCTAAGCCAGGACTAGTGAGACATGATGAAAAAATAAACATTTATATTAGACAGATAGAGAAAAGATTGTCCTGATTCATGTGATGTACTGTATGGGAAAGTTCATTCAGGCTGGGGTTGCCATTGATGTAGCAGAACAGCACAGGAGAAGCCATCTTCACTTGAGTTTACTATTTTCATGGACTATGGAAGGGATAACAAACCAGGAGTAGGTCAGATTGCCAGATGCAGCTACTGCTTCACTCCAGCAGAGCATGTTGTTATTATGCTAGGTCACGGTGCTTGTTGTAGCAAAGAAAATATTAAGCTCACCATCTCAAAGAGGTTAGGGCTTGCTTTCTCTTTTTAGGTGACAGAGTTATTGCTTTTCTCCAACAGCACAAAATCAGTATAACTTTAGTCACTTTTTTTGTAATTTTTTTATTCATACCCAAAACTTCTGTTTAGAAAGAAAAAGAGCAAGAGAGATAAGGGCATTTTCATGACACTTACATAATAGTCACCATCTGGCCCTCTCCTGACACTATATAGGAATTTGTAGAGCAGTGAACTCAAATAAACGATAGTTATTCTCATGACTGAGGACCATATAAACAAAAGAATCCAGCTGGCTCAACCAAAATCCAATTTTCTGACCATGTTGCTAGAAGAATGCTGTCCCAACCAAGGTGTCCTGAGGTTTTAGGTGAGAGAAAGAAGCAAGCATCCTATGCCTTCCACTTTCAGAAAGCTGCAGTACACATGCTTTCTTGTATTCCTTCCTATGTATAGCTAAAGTCCTGGACACTATGTAAAAATAAGGCATAAGAAGACCTCAAAAGATGGAGGGAAGCAGGCAGACATGCTGAGGAACTTGGACTTGAGGAATGAAAAAATGGTGAGTTCCCCAAATTTTCTTCTATTTATATAACCCACCTGAATCCTGAAGAAACCAGTAACCTGAAATTGACAGTGGGTGCAGACAATAAGCCCCAAGACAAATATGCTCTCTCTAACAAAAGGCCCATGAAAAGGCAGATAGAAAAATTTAAAACAATAACCAGTCTGCTCCAACCAAACACCACATAAAGTTTACAATAACCAAGAAAACAATCTTCCCACCACTGGCTCAAAGATAGTCTTTAAACGGCAACATACATTCCATTGTAGATTTCTGATGCTGTCAGGAACTTAGTGGATCTTATTATCAGATGAGGTTGTATTTATTCAGAGTGGTATGGGGTAGACAAAGCCCTTGGTATCAATGAATAGTCCTTGACTTCTTTGACCTGCCAGGTGGCTCCTGCAAGCACTAATGCAAAGAACTTGCCTACATTCTACATATCCCAGAATGTCATCGGGAAAGAAAAATGGCTACCCAGAGAAACTGATCTCTAAAAAATTTTACTGGAGGGATTCAATAACATAGTTGGGTACACAAGAGGAAAAATTCTTAAACTTGAAGATACATCAATTGAATTTATCCAGTTTGTGGAGTACAGAAAAAAAAAAGAAAAATGAATAAAGTCAAAGAGATCTGTGAGACATTATAAAATATACAGATGTAAGTATAATGGGAATCACAGAAGAGAAGGGAAAAAGTAAAGGATGAGAAAAAATACATGAAGAAATAGCGACCAAAACTGATAAATCAGTAGTTTTCCTTTTTGTTTGCCATAATAGCATCCTTCAGGCACCTGAAGTATTTTGACTTCTCTTTTAGATGTCATTAGACATAGAAGCTTTCATAGGATAAGTTTGATGCAAAATGAATTCTTGTCATTTTGCCTATACTGATGTGGTTCTTAGGTCTGCCACCACATTGGATCTATTAGGCCATTTTTTTGTAGTTGTCTCAAATCATACCAACAAAGGTACTTTTTACAAAGACTCTTCTTCTGGGTCACATCTTATTGTTAAATCTTTATGTTTCATTTTTAAACATTTTCAAGGCCATAGTGGCTGCCATCTTTGGCTGCTGTCATTATTCCTTTGGTTTTCACATTTACTGAGAAATGAATATTTCTCTTTTTGCCAAGTATAACATTCTGTAGAAGAAAAGGATTCCAATATCAGCATCTTCCTATAGCATGCTGTTTCCCGTTCATTTGGTAGAAAGGGAAGTGTCTGATGGTGCCATTGTTGGTGGATTTGATTACATGGCTCATGAGTATAGAAGGACCTGCAGTTTTTCTGGTTTCCAGCCAATACCTCCTCTAAAGTAATGAAGCAGTTTGTGGGATAAAGGTGGAATGTGAGCTGTGTGTGTTTGTTTGTCTGTTGGTTCAATTGAGTTTCTGACTTCAATATCCCTCTGATAGTTCTGGCTGGATGAACAAGGATGGAAATGCAGAAGGAGAGAGAGAACAGATCCTCAGCTTTCAAAGGCCAATACTTAGATATCAGGTTTTATTAAAGAAAGGGGAATGAAAGAAATTAAACAGATGAACAGACACATGGACTTATTTTAGAGTCTAGGAGCTAAAGGCAGCTCCATCCCTCCTGCATGACCCAAGTAAGTGCTGTTTGGACACAGGCATGTAGTTTGTACAAAATGGAAGGAAACCTTTCAAGGTCCTCTAGTGCTGGCCTTGTTTAAAAATGTTGCCTGGACTTTGATGTGGAACCATGCTTGTTAAGCCAGATTTAAAACCATTCTGAAATACCTAAGTGAATCCCACCAAGAATGGGGTCCTAATTAGAATATGATATATCCTATGCTTGTATAATTTTATCAAAATGAATTTTACTGTCACATATAACTAAGAAGAACCAATAAAATATAATTTAAAAAAGAAAGAAATCTTGTGTATTTTCAAGATACTAAAGAAAACACATTCTATTTTGAAAGGATTCTTCGGGATTACAAGCAAATTCTTTAAAAATTGAAGATGAGAAACTGGTATGGGAGGTGTCTGGCTGTACAAGGAGAAGAACTATGCAATATGAAATACTCCTTAAATTGCAAACTCTCAGATTTCTATAATAGAACTGTTAAGAATGGTTTCCAGTGCAGAAAAGTGGTTATTTGAAATAACAGCTCTTACTCAGAAAAGGTGGCCATTTGCTATAAAATATGAATATATAAACACACACACATTGACTTGAAGAAAATGTTTACTAAATTTTTAGTTTAACTAAAGTATCAAACTTTTAACAGTGTACATAGAAGGGTCTGCATTTCAAATATTTCTTTGATCACTATGATGAGTCCACAAGATGGCAGTATCTTCTCAGAGACACTAAGGAAAGATGTTTAAGTGCCTGTGCCTGCATGAGAGAGAGAGAGAAGGGAGGAGGAGAGAACAGAGGGGGAGTGGCTTTGAGATGCATCACGGGTGGTGAAACACCTCTTTTTTTCTATTTGGGAGAAGAGATTCTTTTTTATGTCTCAGAATTAGAAATGTCTAAATGAAACTCAGGTTTTTTGTTTTGTTTTGTTGTTTTTCTTTTTAGGTTTTAACGTCTGATTCCTTAGAACCAGGGGAGAAAAGAATGATGAAATTCTTGAGTGTTTTACTACTGATCCTGTGGCTTCAGCTGAGCTGTGAGTTTGGGCATTTCTTTGGGAGCATAAAGAACAATATTTGAAGTTATCAACTACTCTAGGCCCATGGGTAGAAACATGAATGGTTTTACCTTCTAACTAGGGGAGGGTGGTAGGCCTCCTGAAGAGTGTCCACTACCCAAACACCCTTCTTGGACCATTGTCTTTTTGGGTTTTATTTTATTTATTTATTTATTTATTTATTTATTTATTTATTTACATACGCGGTAAAAATGGGAGTTCATAATCCGCTTGAATCAAATGTATGAACTATAATATGTCAAGAGATTTGTGATATTTTGGACCATTGTCTTTTTGCACAGGGGTGCACAGCCAACAGAAGGCAGTGGAGCAGAGTCCTGCAGCCCTCAGTGTTCCAGAAGGATCCGTGGCCTCTCTCAACTGCACTTACAGTGACAGTGCTTCTCAGTATTTCTTCTGGTACAGACAATATCCTGGGAAAGGTCCTAAGTTGCTAATATCCATATATTCCAATGGTGAAAAAGGTGAAGGAAGATTCACAGCACAGCTTGAAAAAGCCAACCGGCATCTTTTCCTGCATATCAGAGGCTCCCAGCTCAGTGACTCAGCCACCTACCTCTGTGCAGTAAGCACACAGTGCTCCCCAGGCACCTGCAGCTGCACAGAAACCTACTGGCCCAGGAGTTCTGAGGTAGAGCACAGACCACAGAACATAGAGTCTTTTGTGCTCTAAATGTGCAGGGAATTAAGAGTAATAAACATTACATTAGGAGTGTAATCCCAAAACAGAAATGCAAAGGGAAGAAAGGAGTCATGAAAAAATCCAATTTGGGAAAGTGTGTAAGCCCAAATTATTTTACTTCTGTTCTCCCATCTCATCTCCATTCTCAGCTGCAACTCCACTCCTGGACATTTGATGGGTAGGAGGAAGGACTAGAGTGAGAGGGTGAGAAACAAGAAGCTCAGATGGTTGCAGAGATCAAAAGTCAGAGAGAGTCCATGTTGTTCTTCTTGAGTAAAGGCCACATAGAACTCAGAATCCCTGGCCTGATCCTTGAAACTTTGTTACCTGCACTGGGGTGAGGTATAGAGAGGTGGGGAGCAGATGCCATAGTCTTAGAGAGCCCCACCAACAGTGGGGCATGGAACCCCAGAATAACTCTAGATTTCCAGCAAAGGAACCCTGAGGAAGGGTCTAAAAGACACCAAGGGGCTTCATTATGGAGAGCAAGTCCTGCATGAATCAGCTGTCAAAGATGACAAGTATTGAGTCTTTCAGCAAATGTTGGTGAAGAGAGTTGGAAACACTGAAGATCATATGAATGTTTCCCTCCTTGGACTCCAGGGCTCTATGGATTTGTTTGGCCATCTACACAAGTCTAGTAATACTATTTGTGCTCTGATGGAAATAAGACCTTGTAATAGACATTAAGTTGTGTTACAGGAAAAAAAAACTTCATTCTTTTGTAAAACATATTGTTTTACAACATGTCTGTTAAACATAATTGTGTAGATAGTCCAGGAAAAAAATTGCAAATGAATTAAGATTTCTGTTCAGGAGATTAATATCTAGAATATACAAAGAACTCAAAAAATTTAACACCAAAAAAAAAGAAACCCAAATAACCCAATACATAAATATGAAAAATATATTTTTCTTAAAATACAAATGGCTAACAAATATATGAGAAATGTTCAAAATCATTAGCCATTAGGGAAATGCAAACCAAAACTATGTTGCGATTTCATCTCACACCAGTCACAATGGTAGTCATCAATAAGAAAAACAATAATAAGTGCTGGAGAGAAAAAGGAACACATGACACTGTTGGTGGGATTATAAGTTAGTACAACCACTATGGAAATCAGTATGGAGGTTTATCAAAAAAGGAAACATGGAACCACCATATGACTCAGATATACTACTCCACAGTATTTATCATAAAGAATAAAAATTGTATTATAGTGATATATGTATATCCATGCTTAAAGCAATACAATAACCAAACTATGGAATCAGCCTAGGTGTCCATCAACAAATGAATGGATAAAGATAATGTGGTGTGTATACACACAGTGGAGTTTTATTCAACTATAGGAGATATGAAGTTATGTTATTTTCAGAAATATGTATGGAGCTTGAAAACATTATGTCATGCAAAATAAGCCAAATGCAGAAAGTCAAGAGCCATGTGTTTTCTCTCATGGAAACTAGAGAGGAAAAAGGAAAGAAAAAGTGCCAGACAGAATCTCATGAAAATTGAAGGGAGATCAGTAAAGTATAGGAAAGAGACCAGGAGAGGGAAGAAGGGAAAGAATACTGGGGAATTATATTGTTATATGATGTCATATATGAATATAATATGTAGTAGCAAATCCCACCACTATGTACAACTATAATGCACCAATAAGAATATGGGGAAAAATAGAAAAAAAAATGTTGTTCAGTTCTGTTCATATAGTCATTGACTAAATGGATATAACCCAATCAGGATTTGCTTCATATTCTCCATCAGAAGAATTAAAAAACAAACAAAGCTTTGCATGTCGTGGAAGAGAGAACTGGAAGGCAGTGAGTAAGAGCAGAATGTTGAGCTCTAATTAAGATCCTTAAATTCTAGCCTTACTTTGAATGAGTGCTTTCTGATATCATGGCATTCAGAAATGAATCAAGGTTGTAGAGTTGGTTCAAGCATCTGTTATGTTACTTATGCGCCATTTGATTTTACCCTGTACTCACATACATCTTAAGATTGGTTTCAGAATTTACGAAATAACACATTGTTGTTAGTTGAGTTTCTTAAGAGGATAACCTGAACTAAAGCTCTTTTGCCCATAATTTATCAAGGAAAGCAAGTTCAGAGGGAGAATTGCTAAGTATGAATGTAAGTAGTCTTGTTTTAACCTGACCTCTTGGGGAGCTCTGGGGCATGAATTTTTCCACAAATTTGATCCCTTCCACCTTGAGATAAGGCTAGACTGCTGATCTTTTGTGCACAAGATTAAAGTATTGAGGTCATTGGCCATGGTCTTTCTTGGAGTAGAGGTATACTCTACGGGTCGATGGCAGAGAGTGGAAGGACCAACTGTGAACCAAGAGTAGTCAACATTCATATCATCTGGGTATTACCTGCACTGGCCTGGGAAAGGAGATTTAGGCTAAACACCAACAGTGTCCACTATACCATGCAATTCTCCAAGAACATGGGGAGCATTCACTTAATTATAGACTTTCTAATTACTATATACTATGTTTTAATTTCATCATCCATTTAATGGGTTTTATAGCTGGTCTTACTATTCTTCAACAATTGAAATAATTTAAGACACCTATTAACAAAAAAAAGCAGTATATTATTATCTCAGTTTATTTTGGGAATGATTTTATGACACTAAGCCTTGATAATCAGAGTTGATCATTTTGGTCTTTCATATATAGAAAGACATGCAGGAAGAGATCCCACCACATACACTTGTGAATGGCTAACATTATTATCTTCTTTGAGTACTGTTAAGAATGAAAGGCTGGGTATCAGGGTACACTTCCCACAAGGTGCCTTCTTAAGTGGGGTTGGCTGGCAGTATGGACTGTGGGCATGCACATGAATAGGCAGGCTCATCATTAGGATGCCAGAGCAGGCAACAGGCAGTTCAGTTGCTCCTTTTCTTCCTTGTATATCAGTTTGAAGATGGACGAACTCTGTCAACTACTCACATCAAAATCTTCACCTTCCCAGATGGCTCATTGCAATTTAGTGAGAACTGAGTGTCTGGATTGAACTGTCCTACTGTGCTCCTCACACACAAGCACAGCAGCAGATGGAGGGCACAGAGGGAGGCTGCTGTCCCCTTCACACACTCACATTCAGTCTGTTCTCTTGTGTCCTTCCCTCCTGCCCTCCAGCACACCTACTCTCTCTCAGCCCAGAGCCGCTCCAGGGTCTGGTGGAACTGGTTTCCTTCACTCACTTCCCCACTGTGATCTTCATACAGCTCATTCTGGGCTGTGCTTTTTGTTTCTCTTTTTCATCCATCAGTGGGGCTGTTGTCTACGTTCCATCTTATGAATGTTAATACCTTTCTTCTGGTAATTATCTTACCATTATGGATTTAGGTTCATCCTGTTTATATTTTCAAATTCCATTTTAGTGGGAATTTTGGAAATATAAGAAATGATTACATATGCTTAACTGGAAATTTTTAATCAGCAGCACATGCTAGTAACACTTAAAATTCCAAGCTGACTATATTTGGTCTTACACATGAAAGAAAATTGATATGCAGGATGAAGACATAGATCAGAAAACAAGAGAGAAATGCTTTCAGATTGGTAGCAGTCAGTGTAGTTCTCACAAAGAAATTGTTTTGACTTTATGAAAAGGATCCCTGATGGCCAGATTCTCATTTCACCCCCATTCTCTTCTTATTTGGTTATGTATTTCACTTTTAGGTTCCAATAATCTTTATACTTCAATAAGTTGGATGGGAAAGAGTTTGCTTATCATTAGGCCATAGAGCAGATTGCTTTTGTTTGGCCCTGTTTCCCACCTGTATGGGACTACTGTGTGCTTAACTCAGATGAGGGTCACTGACAACCTCTCCTTTGTCTTCTGTACCTCCCACAAGTTCCCTTCATTTTCTAGTCTGTTGGTGGCACTCACTCCTGCCTTATTGAGTTCATGTAGATTTACTTTGTTGTCTATTCTTCTTTCAAGAAACAGATATTAATATATGTGTGTGTGTGTATATATATATATATATCATAAGAAGATATGAAAATATATTTTTTCATTTCTTCTTCTTCCTTATAATTCTACTTCAGTTTCTCTATAGATGGACCTCTGTCAATCTTCCTTTTAGAAGAACTTAAATTATCACGATTTGCAGCTGACATGATTCTATACCTAGAAGACCCAAAAGGGTCTACAAAAAAACTACTAGAACTAATAAATGAATTCAGCAAAGTGGCAGGATATAAAATCAACACGCATAAATCAAAGGCATTCCTGTATATCAGCGACAAAACTTCTGAAACGGAAATGAGGAAAAACACTCCATTCACAATATCCTCAAAAAAAATAAAATACTTGGGAATCAACCTAACAAAAGAGGTGAAAGATTTATACAATGAAAACTACAAAACCCTAAAAAGAGAAGTAGAAGAAGATCTTAGAAGATGGAAAAATATACCCTGTTCATGGATAGGCAGAACTAACATCATCAAAATGGCGATATTACCAAAAGTTCTATATAGGTTTAATGCAATGCGAATCAAAATCCCAACGGCATTTCTTGTAGAAATGGATAAAGCAATCATGAAATTCATATGGAAAAATAAAAGACCCAGAATAGCAAAAGCAGTTCTAAGCAGGAAGTGCGAATCAGGCTGTATAGCGATACCAGACTTAAAACTATATTACAGAGCAATAGTAACAAAAACAGCATGGTACTGGTACCAAAACAGGAGGGTGGACCAATGGTACAGAATAGAGGACACAGAGACTAATCCACAAAGCTACAACTATCTTATATTTGATAAAGGAGCTAAAAGCATGCAATGGAGGGAGGATAGCATCTTCAACAAATGGTGCTGGGAAAACTGGAAATCCATATGCAACAAAATGAAACTGAATCCCCTCCTCTCACCATGCACAAAAGTTAACTCAAAATGGATCAAGGACCTAGATATCAAATCAGAGACTCTGCATCTGATAGAAGAAAAAGTTGGCGCCGATCTACATATTGTAGGGTCGGGCTCCAAATTCCTTAATAGGACACCCATAGCACAAAAGTTGATAACAAGAATCAACAAATGGGACTTACTTAAACTGAAAAGTTTTCTCTCAGCAAGAGAAACAATAAAAGAGGTAAATAGGGAGCCTACATCATGGGAACAAATTTTTACTCCTCACACTTCAGATAGAGCCCTAATATCCAGAGTATACAAAGAACTCAAAAAATTAAACAATAAGAAAACAAATAACCCAATCAACAAATGGGCCAAAGACCTGAACAGACACTTCTCAGAGGAGGACATACAATCAATCAACAAGTACATGAAAAAATGCTCACCATCTCTAGCAGTCAGAGAAAT